GCAGCACAACTGCAATTGCAAACCTCCCCCTTCCTCAAGACCCCACCTGTCCCTCCCGCCTATGGAAACTGAACTATAAAGCTTCTGCTCTTGCCCGGTGTGTGAGGTTGAAAGAGCTGCCCTACGGGCATCCCGCATCTTAGTGTGCTGAGCTCTCCTTGCACTTCACAAACACTGGGTTCTTTGTGAAACGAAGGTGTATGACACCCTTGCATTGAGCAAGTCTGTTGGCACCATTTCCCCAACACATCTGTGCACTTTGTGCCTCTGTCACGTTTTGGGAATTCTCACACTGTTTCCCACTTTTCCATAGTGCACACTTAACAGACTGCAGGATAGTGTAAGCATAACTTTCATAGGCACGGGGTAGGATAAAATATCCATGTGGCTTGTTTTGTTGTGCAATTTTATTGCAGTGGCCTGGACCTGAAGTTCGTAGTCTCCTCAAGGTGTGTTGGTACCTGGCAGAGCCCCAGGGTGGTGGAATGGCTGGGTGTTACAGGCACCTGTCTGTTTCTATGCCCATGAATGCCATTCTGCAGAAATACTGCATGGATGTCTTGGCTGAGCAGACATGGTTTAGAAACATATTCTATATTTTTCCTTTCTTTATTAGGACTGGTGTTTCCCCCCCACCCCACCCCACCAGGGGATATAAAATAGCTCCTACAGGAGGCTCCTTGCATGCAATGTCTAACCTTTAGAGGCACTCCCAGGCTGTTTCTCAAAGCAATTGGGCCATTTCATAGCGCAGACAGCAGGGTACAATTTTAACGGCTGTTGTTTTTAACTGTGGTTTTAATTGGGTTGTTCCTCTTTTTGTTTCTGAGTTGTAAGAGTTCTTTCTATGGTCTGGATACAAGTCCTTTATCAGAAATGTGGTTTTGCAAAACATTCCTCTCATTCTGTAAGTTGTCCTTTTACTGTCTTGACGATGTCCTTGTGACAAAGTCCAGTGTAATCTACTGTTGTTTGTTTGGTAGTTCTGTCTCCTTTGTAGGTGTCATCTAAGAAAGCGTATGTGTGTGTGTGTGTGTGTGTGTGTGTGTGTGTATGTGTGTGTGTGCGCAGTAAGGATTTTTTCGGGGCAGATGCACAGGGGGATGAGTTACTGATATGAGTTACTCAGCAGTTCAAACCCACCCAATTGCTTTGAGAAACAGCCTGGCAGCGCCTCAAACAATAAGGCCCCATGTCCAAATTGTCCCGGAGGCTGAAGGGGAGGCAGAGGTGTTACTTGCCCCATGGGTGGCCCTGCAAATTCAGCACCTGCCTCTGCTCCCATACCACATAGAAGCAACACAGCGGCCAGGCATGGTGATAACACGTTGCTTCAATGTTTATACAGAGCACACAAGGCGTGTTGACATCCTGTCGGCAGTCTGTGGCTCCGAGGCCGACAGTGGCTTCCTGGGAGTGGAAAAAGTGGCCTGAGGGCAGTAGGGGCTCTGACAAAGGCTGCTCTGGGCTGGCATGCACAGGACCTGGATGCGAATTCGGCCGGCTGTATAGAAGGGCTGGCTGGGTTATCTTCGTGGGGGTAGTCTTTGGAGGACTCCCCTAAGAACAGATTGAGGATGGGTCTGACCATCAGTCAGATGGGTCATCCCTAGAGAGCTCCAAGCATTGTGGGCCAAAGCAGAATAAAGGGCGGGGCCGGGGGGGGGGGCACTGACAGAACAGAAGGAACTGGGTAACTGGTGGATATGAAAAATGATTTGGAAGTAGATTGCCTTGGTACGTTTCTTTCAAGGTGTTAACATATGATTGTAAACATTGAATGTCCTTTTTCTTTTTAAGATTACGGAAATGATAACTATTGTGCAAACATATTCAGCCTTGAGTAACTCTACCATAGAGGGAATAGATATTCTGGCAATAAAATTCAAAAATATTTATCAAGGGGTTAAGAAAAAGCAATATGACATTCTGGATCCAAGAAGGACAGAATTTGAAACAGATTTCTTAGAATTCATGTCTAAAATCAGTTCTTTAGAGGTAAGTCGTTATTATACTTTCACTTGATAAAGGTGCCAAGTTATCAGCATGATTGGCTATTCAGATATCTTATTTTTTTTAAATTGTAAATTATGCTTGTAATTTTATTTTTTTTAAATTGCCAATGAAAATCATTGTGTACTTTGTCCATGAAGTATTTTCCATCCTTTTTCTTTTAAATGAAAAAGAAAAGCAGGGAGAGGGATTCTATTCAATAAAAAGACAGATGCTTCAATAATCAGAATCTCAAAGGGCTACTATAGCCAGGGTCCATTTAAAATTTTTATTAAAACTTGTATTTGTTTTTTGTTGTGCCAAGGAGCCCTGGTGGCAAAGTGGTGATGTGTTGGGCTGCTAAAACGGCAAGCTCAGCAGTTCAAACCCACCCGCTGCTCCAAGGCAGAAAGATGAGGCTTTCTAGTCCTAGAAAGAGTCATGGTCCCGGAACCCCCATGAGCAATTGCACCCTGACTTACAGTCACTAGCTATACGTCTAAATGGACGAGGTGGCAGTGAGTTTGGGTTTTGGCTTGGAGCACCAAGGAGCCGTGGACATTTCTCTAGTCCGAGAGAGAATTTGCAGTCCTTGTTCTTTAAGTGTAAAGGGATCTGAGAGCTGACTTCACAGGTCTCGAGTCAGCTCTGAAGTAACCTTCATCCTCTGTGTCTTGGGTTCAGGGCTCCAGAGGGATGCAGGGTTGTTAAGGCAGTTCAGGCAGGCTGTCACGTACAAGAGGGCTGCAAAATCTGGTGGAAAAATCCCATTCTCATTGAATTCCATTTTCTATGAGCATCTTGAAGCCCCCTAGCCTAGGTACTTGTAAATAGGCCAGGTAGCTCCGTGGATACGTGCATGGTTGGTTGCGAACAAAATGGTCACGCTTCACACCAGCCAGCTGGATCTGAAAGTCACAGTGATTTCCAAGAGTGCTTTGTCCCTATGGCCGGGTGCCTGGGCTTGGAGCTCATTGCTTGGAACGGCTGGAAGAACTTCCTACCTCTGTAGCATGGCAGGAAAGATTCTCCAGATCTCCAGGTATCAAGCCGACCTCACAATATTCAGGAGCAGAGGAGTCCTGGTGGCAAACGGTTATTTGTTGGACGGCTAATTGTGAGGTCAGCAGTTTGAAATCACCAGCCACTCCTCGGGAGAAGGACGAGGCTTTACATTCCCATTAAGAGTTACCTGTAGGGTAAGGTGACCAGATGTCCCACTTTTGGCGGGACAGTCCCAATTTTTGGCATTTTTAAAAAGTCCTGATTTTTGGAAAGAATGCACGACAAGCTAGGGAACGGTCTATTTGGTCCATATAGACCAAAAAAAAATTTTAAGACCAAATTTTAAATCAAGAATGCCCCCCACCCAATCAATGGTGTCCTGCTTTAAATCTGGTCACCTTACTGTAGGGGTAACTCTAGGGGTCGACTCAGAAACCCATAGGGGTAGCTCTACCTTGTGCTATAGGGTCACTGTGAGTCAGAATCAGCCCAATGGCAGTGAGGTTTTATTTTTTTCAGTATTCTAAATGTCCAAAGGAAATTTGGTGTGAGATACCACTTGGTGTAACATCTTGGATATCTGTTTGATACGAGATTTTACTCCTTTTATTTGTTCTCTATATCAGTAATATCCAAAAAATATCAAGCCACCAAACCCAAACCAAACCTATCGCCAGTGAGATTCCCTAGCGAGCCTCTAGGTTTCTGAGACTGTCAGCCTTTACAGGAGCTGACAGCTTCCTCTTTCTCTCCTGGAGAGGCTGGTGGGTTCGAACCACCAACCTTGTGGTGAGCAGTCCACTGCCAGTGGCACAGTGCCACTTTTCCCCCCTTAGTAACCAGGTTGATTAGTTTCTAAAGAAACAGGAAAACTTTTTATCCCACCCATGATCTTAAATATTTTGTCATTTTATCATGTCATCAATAGAAAAACCATTAACGAGGCATTTTATTTTATTTCATGCTAAGTCTTTGAAATCAGGTATTTTACACTTACCTCACTTTCATATAGTGATGCTTCAAATACTCAGTGGCCCTCATGTGATCTGTCTGTGGTCACTGCACTGGCCAGAGCAGGGCTCCAGATTCTTTGTTAGAGGGGAGATGTTTTAGGGTTGTGGACTATATTGTCCTCTAGGGCTATATTGAAATTGATGCCCTACAAGACTTTGGTCCTAAGCCCCTAGGTCCAGTGACTCATCCCCACAGATGTTTTGTTTTGACTAAGAAGTTTAAGCTTGTGTCCTTTGTTTGCTCTCTTATATACATGGATATCTTTCTAGCTCATAGAAATAACGTACGTAGACATGTTTTTCTGCCAAGTCAATAAACATTAAAATGTCAATCTTTTATTTTAGGTACAGATTCAGGCATTTATGAGTAGTACTTTTGGAAAAATCTTATCGTCTCAGCTGGCTCTTCAGCTTCTCCAACGGTATTTATAATGTGTTGAACAATGTAGTTTCTTTTTTTTTTTTGAACAATATAGTTTCTAGGTAGGATAACTGTGTATCTGAAAACTCAATTCCAAATAAGATGTTTCAGGACTCTCTCCTTCGTAAACCTTAAAACATAAAAGCGTTAACCTTTCAAGTACCTCTCAGACCTTTGAAATAGAGTGTGATATATTTCGTTGCACTTTTATGTATTGTAGCGGGAAGTCTTTAAATAAGAAAATGAAATTATGTCACACCCCCACCCCCACCCCTGCCTCCCCAGCTATGTGACATGTTTGAGATTAGTTTTGTAGGTGTTACTGGAAAGGGAACAAATAGTGCTTAATTCTACAGACCGCGAACATTTCTGGAAGGAAAATGATCTAAGAGTGGTGGATGTCAACACTTTCCACGTTTGCTCCTGCAGTTTCCTTTCCTCCGCTCCTGAGAGCAAGGCTCCCCATCCTCCCCTGGGGACGGGGTGCCGGATCACACGACAAGCAGTCCTGGGAGGGCTCAGGAGTCCTGTCAGGGAGCCTTTTAGAACCCTCCCCCAAGAATCACAATGATGGCGTTTACCTCCTCAGACCTAGCTCAGCCATCATTAAGAGCCCCAAACACATAAAGCAGCATTTTTGTGAGGGGGCAGTGCTGTGCACACGGCAGGTACCATTTATTTTCTACGCCAACTCTCGCATACGACTCTTTATTTCTGATACCATCTCTGCCCCAGTCTCTCTCATCCTCTCTCTATCTCTCCGGTTCTCTCTCTGCCTCTCTGCTTCTCCTTTTCGCCCGCCTTCTTCCTCTATCCCCTGTAGACTCTTTTTTCCCTCTCCCTCCCTCTGTCCCC